TATATATATATATATATATATATATATATATATATATATATATATTAGAGGCAACTGGACGTCTATCCACACTGATGAGCTGTGATAAGGCAAAAGTCTGTCTGTAGATGATAATATATATATATATATATATATATATATATATATATATATGTGTGTGTATATGTATTAATCCTACACACACACACACACACACACACACACACACACACACACACACACACACATATATATATATATATATATATATATATATATATATCAGTCAAGCAAGCTACCATGGTTTCGACCTTTAGGTATCCTCAGGCGATATAGGCCAAATTATTTCATAACAATTTTTTATGCATATATATTCTCACAATATGAAATGTAATAGAAATTTAGAGCAAGCATATTGACCTCGTATTGGAGCGGGAGTAAATAAATTATACTTACATCCGGGTTTTAATTTTTATTTTCTTTAAATGTTTATTGAACATTTTTAATACAACTTTTTCCTGGTTTAATTTATCTCTGGCCAATATCTGGTTTATAATTACATATTTATACCTGTATCTTATATTTTTAAAACCGCAAACGTTTTTGGTTATAATGTGGATTTAAAAAAAATATGTATTATACTTTTTCCCCACATTTTTGCCACCGCCGTTTCGGATCTTGTAACCGTCATAAGGCGAAGAATTGTTATTTCCCAATATTATTTAAAGGAATTAATTTTCCTTATGTCTTCTTATCTTTAACCACTGTATTTTGTGTGTGGTAGTAATCCAAATTTTTCTTGGATTGGTAGAGAAAATGTCCCTCTGCATCAGGTGTAATAGGTTTAGTCAGAAAAAGGAAGAAGGAAGGAGGTTATTGTTCTTACCTTTTTATGAATTATATATATATATATATATAGCTGGCCACTCGTACTCGAGGATAGCATTCTACTAGGGCGGCTAGCCAATCCCTATCCGTCTACCCAATTCCACTCTAAAGGCTTGGGTCAGCCCATGCTATGCTTTTTTCTGGCATTTTCCAAAGGTGCCGCACGCGGAGGTCGACTCAATGTTATCAATATTGTAGACCAGGCTTTTGTTAGTCGCGTAGAGGAGCGTTGGGTTTACGTGTTGTTACATTATGAAATCGTGTGTTTATTCCTGCTAGAAGAAGATCCAACTTCAATAAAATGGCGGACTCAAGTTGAGTCCAACCGAAGATGTAAAGAAAACAAACAAGACCAATATATATGTGTCAACAAATATATGCATTAAACAACAAATTTGCAAGTGACAAAGACATTAACCTTTGTGTTTGTTTGTGAACGTAAAGAGTTTGTATTTTGGCGAAAGTTTGTACGTACGTGTATGTGTGTACAAAGTTCATGGCGTCTCCCATAAATGAGAAGACGCTATCTTCTGCGAGAGAAGAAATGAAAAAGAGGACGAGGCAAGAAGTCGCCCAGTATTTATAGTGTAAGGAGAGCGCCCCCTAGTGAACAATTAGGGAATTCAGGAGGAGTTAACTCCGACAGTTTCAAACAGATATATTTTGGTCGCGTATCATATAAATTACGTCATGCATAGGGAAGCTGAATGCACCGGAAAACAAAGATATTTAATATTTTGTACTTATTTATATTTGATGCGAATTTTAAATATTTTACACATCTATTAAAAGTTTACCACTAATGGTTAATTATATATAATATGGGGATCTTTCATTTGTATCATAATACCTCCGAATGCTCCAAATATTTACATTCATTACGGTTGAATATTTTGAAATGTCTGCTAATATTTATCTGGAAGTGCTGGTTCGTGTCATGGAAAGAGAAATTGACGAATAGAGGTAGAATGCCGGTCGAAATTGTTACATTTACTTGGGAAATGTATGAATAAACGTTATTGTAGAATAAGCAAACACGATGAAGCGTAATTGAGAAAATTCGCATTAAGCAGAATAAACAAGAAAAGAAAAAAGACAGGGCAAAATAACACGAGGCCAAACCAATATATATATATATATATATACATATACACAGGGTGTCCATAAGTTGTGCACATTAAAAAAATTATAACTTTGTATTTGCGATAGAAATAATTTGTAAAAAGGATGAGAAAGAATAAATCTATATTTTTTAAGGTTTTATTGAAATTTTATTTAAGTTTCCACGTGTCCTCCATCATTAGCAATACAAAGTGTAATACGATTTTGCAGGTCACGGTAAATATTTGCCGACTGATTTAAAGTAATACCTGAAATAATATTAGTTATTTAGCTATACTTAAAAAATAGGTACATTAAACTTTATAGCATTTTTTACAGATTATTTCTATCACAAATACAAATGAAGTTATTAATTTTTAAAGTGTACACAGACTTTACGGACACCATATATATATATATATATATATATATATATATATATATATATATATATATATATATATATATGCGGCAGAAATATACTGTCACCTGCGTGCTGCCAGTGAACTTAGGCAGGTAGCAATGGCATTTTCATCTAGCTAATGTCTAACAATTTTTTTTCAGATAACATGGACCGATGGTTTGGACTGGTGTATTCTGTGCGTTTGCTGTTGAAACGTTTTGTTTTTTTAAGACTGGTGAATCTGTAATTACAACACAGAGAGCTGTTATTGCTCTTTTAGTGTTTTGTCGGAATATTGCTGTTCCGGATAGAACAATCGATAATCTGCTATCGGTTGAATGTCTCAGAGCCAGAACGTTCAGCGCTTAAAAGATAACACCTGGAATAGCTCGAAGCACACGAACATCCAAGCAACGGAAAACTATAGAAATCGTCTACAACAGTTTGTGGCGAATTGAAGCCACAATTTGGAAGATGTCATCTTATTTAAACGAAATGAATAAAAACTATAGACCTTTGGTTAAACAACAGTGAAATATTTTTTAATAGCAGTCACATTAGTCTCTTGTCAACCTTTAAAATGAGAGGCCTAATTCTGTCCCAGCCTATATAATGCAAGTCACAACCAAAGCATCTATGAGGAGGTAATAAATTAAAAAAATGTACACAAAATAGAAGTACTCTTCATACGCAAAAGGGAGAACATCCCAGAATGCATCTGTAGAATTTATATATACGTGTTGGTAGTGCAGGACGATTGGAAACAACAGTAATAAAGCCCAACATATTTAATCCCATGGTACGGTAATTATTTCAATCATCCGCCATTAACTCGTTGTGCGAATACGAAGGCAGCGCCAAAAGTTGTTTACAGCGTTCCTCAGTAGCCGAGTATTTTGCTGATACGGTCTTATTCATTATATATATATATATATATATATATATATATATATATATATATATATTCAAGTAATTCATCGAGTCTAGAAGAAAACTCAGCAGAATGCAGAAAGCACTGGACGGCCGTTTCGTCGTATATTTTGTGACTCATCAGCAAGTGCGCATCCACTACTGAGAAGTGAAACCCGAACAATTACGATTGGAGGCAAACGCCATACCAATTGTACCAAGTGGCCTCAGTGACGAAGAGGTAACGAATTAAGCTCGATATAGTGCCGCTCGATCACATATTCCGTGGTGAAACACACACACACACACACACACACACACACACACACACACACACACACACACACACACACACACACACACACATATATATATACATATACATATATTGTCCTCTTCAGTACATATTACTTTTTGGTTTTAGGTCTTTTTAGCTTTTGTATTGCATTAAACTCGGAGACACAGTGGAGTAATGGATAGCGGCTTGGTTATGAGGAATCGGAGAGCCGAGTTCGAATTCCAGTCGAACCCATTACATTCACTTACGTGCTAATACACTTGGGAAGGGATGACTCCACTTCTTCTCCCCACAGCTATGGGTAAATAGCAGGACAGACCGGGTTCTATAGCCTTGGGTGGCACCTACTGCGGGGAAAAATCTACCTCGTCAGTCGTACATGATCACCTAAGCGTGTATAACGCATGGCATATGGAGTGATTGTATTAAAACAATATAAAAAAAATTATTTGGAATTATTAATGATGTTTTTATTTCCAGTTTTAAAGTCTGTTCTACTTTCGATAACACAGCTATATGTATGTGTGTGGAATAAGCTGTCAAGACTATACATACAGAGGGGTCATTTCTGTCGTCTGGCATTTTCTATGATCCGGCAATTGTCCCATGGGTGCCGGATTAACGAGGTCGGACTGTGAACAAATTCGAAAATCAGCACTAACTTCTTTACATTACTTAGCTGTCTTTAAAACTTAAATTATCCTTTTATTTTTTGTTTTTTACTTTATTTGTACATTTTGAGGAGAAAGAAAAATATGAAATGTATCAAAATAATACGAACGTTGCAAAAATAAATTCTGTATAGCCTAGCATGTTATTTTATTCATCATTTTATCGGAGAGTGACTTGTGATCGTTAATGTCGAAATCCGAGTCATTAGCTAGCTGTATGGAAGGCAGGTAAAGGAGATTATGGCAACTTGCAGTGGTAGGGGTCCCGACTGGTAGTTTCGTTAAGAAACTCCGCAATGGGGTCTGCTTAGTGATTTTCTTTTTTGCTTCATAAATTTTACGATAACATTAACGGTTCATTCATTTGCCATTTAACTTTCAGAAAGTTGTCAACTCTTGTATTTTGGTGGTGCCTATAAAATTCTGATGTTTGAATTTTGTATTTTTAGTTTAGATTTTTATTTTCTTTTATAAGAGGTCGTTAAACAATTCGTTAAGTGACTATATTTCATGACGACAAATGGATTTGTCAAACCAAGTTCGAATTTTGGTTGAGGCTGCTTAGATTCATTTTTCCTTCTGAAAGTTCCGAGTTCGAAAAGGTAGTTAACAGGGAAGATGATAAATCATTTGCCCATTTCTAACGCCTAGACATTAGGAAATGAAAAAGTTGGTGCAGCCATTTTTAACCTTGACATGGGACACTCTAAATTAACGTAGGCTGAGCAAAGCATGAGGTCAAATATAATTAATGTGTGTTTGTGATCAGAACGGTAAAGTTACATCTACCTGTCAACTGGGAAATGCTTCATCTTCTTGTTCTTCTCTTTTTCTTTTTCTTCTTCGTCTTATCTTCTTCTTATCTTTTTCTTATCTTCTTCTTTCTTCTTCTTCTTCTTCTTCTTCTTCTTCTTCTTCTTCTTACCTTCTTCTTTTTCTTACCTTCTTCTTCTTACCTTCTTCTTCTTATGCTCTTCTTATCTTCTTCTTTTCTTCTTCTTCTTCTCCTTCTATTCTTCTTCTTCTTATCTTTTTCTTCTTCTCTTCCTTCTTATCTTCTTCTTCTTATCCTCTTCTTATCTTCTTCTTCTTCTTCTTCTTCTTCTTCTTCTTCTTCTATTCTTCTTCTTCTTATCTTTTTCTTCTTCTCTTCCTTCTTATCTTCTTCTTCTTATCCTCTTCTTATCTTCTTCTTTTCTTCTTCTTCTTCTCCTTCTATTATTCTACTTCTTATCTTTTTCTTCTTCTCTTCCTTCTTATCTTTTTCTTCTTATCTTCTTATTTTCTTCTTCTTCTTCTCCTTCTTATATTTGTCTTATGTTCTTCTTATCTTCTTGATACCTTCTTCTTCTTACCTTCTTCTTATCTTCTTCTTCTCCTTCTTATCTTCTTCTTATCTTCTTCTTCTTCGTCTTATCTTCTTCTTATCTTCTTCTTATCTTCTTCTTTCTTCTTCTTCTGCTTACCTTCTTCTTCTTATCTTCTTTTTATTACCTTCTTCTTCTTATCCTCTTCTTATTTTCTTCTTTTCTTCTTCTTCTTCTTCTTTTCTTCTTCTTCTTCTTCTTCTTCTTCTTCTATTCTTCTACTTCTTATCTTTTTCTTCTTCTCCTCCTTCTTATCTTTTTCTTCTTATCTTCTTATTTTCTTCTTCTTCTTCTCCTTCTTATCTTCGTCTTATGTTCTTCTTATCTTCTTCTTCATACCTTCTTCTTCTTACCTTCTTCTTATCTTCATCTTCTTCTTACCTTCTTCTTCTTCTTATCTCCTTCTTCTTCTTTTTTTCTTATTCTCCTGCTTCTTATCTTCTACTTCTTCTCCTTACCTTCTTTTTCATATCTTCTTCTTCTTATCATTTTCTTTTCTTATCTTCTTTTTCTTACATTCTTCTTCTTATCTCCTTCTTCTTATCTTCTACTTCTTATCGTCTTCTTCTTCTTTTTTTCTTATTCCACTGCTTCTTATCTTCTTCTACTTCTTCTTCTTACCTTCTTCTTTTAATCTTCTTATTATTTTTTCTTTTCTTATCTTCTTCTTCTTACCTTCTTCTTACCTTCTTCTTATCTTCTTCTTCTTATATTCTTCTTCTTATCTTTTCCTTCTTCTCCTCCCTCTTATCTTCTTCTTATCTTATTCTTCTTCTTCTTATCTTCTTCATCCTCTTATCTTCTTCGTCCTCGTCTTATCTTCTTCTTATTCTTACCTTCTTCTTATCTCCATCTTCTTATCTTCTACTTCTTCTTACGTTCTTCTTCTTCTTCTTTTTCTTTTTCTTCTTATTATTATCTTCTTCTCATCTTCTTCTTATCTTCTTCTTCTTACCTTCTTCTTACCTTCTTCTTCTTCTTATCTTCTTCTTATCTTCTTTTTCTTTTTCTTCTTCTTATTATTTTATTATTATTATCTCCTTCTTCTTATCTTCTTCTTCTTCTTATCTTCTTCTTCTTCTTCTTATCTTCCTCTTCCTATCTTCTTCTTATGTTCTTTTTCTCATCTTCTTCTTATCTTCTTCTTCTTATCTTCTTCTTATCTTCTTCTACTTCTTATCCTCTTCTTCTTACCTTCTTCGTATCTTCTTCTTTTTATTCTTCTATGTGCCACTAACTTTTAAGAACGCTGTCGATCATGGCTTCTCATAATTTCATGTCTTCTAGGTATTACTAAATACTGTCTGTGCTATCTCTCCGAAATCCTGTTTTGCCCTCCATTTATACAAGCTCGTTAGACATGTTAAGTGCAGTTTTCCTAAGTCCTTCATGCTTTCAATATGTCATGTGAGTGCAGAATTTTCCAAGCCCTCTTTCCTTATTATGCCGCCTGAAAATTTCAACTGCCTCTTTCTGATATGCAATATAAATGTCATCATTGTTTCCATTTTCTCTTAAAATAATTCATTACTAGCAGCATGGCCCGGCGTTGCCCGTGCTTGATTCAAAAATCGTACGACTCATACAGCAATCGCTATCACTTGACATAAAACATTTTTGCCCTTCCTTGCCTTTAAAGGGGTGCCCTTTGCCGTGCTGATGTTGCTACATGCCTTACTTCTTGCCTATCTCACACTGCGAATTTTTTCTATGCTCTATTCTAAACATTAAATCTGTTACGAAAAAAGAACTAAACAAAATGAACACAAAACGATCAGCTTTAAAAAAGGACTCGTAACTAGAAAAACTGAATGCAAAAAGAATGTTAACAACAAATACTTTTTCACACCCAACCCAGTTCTGCGGAATCAGAATCAACGTTGAGTTTAAGCAAGCGAATGAGCCAATTGGAATAAAGTGCCATGCAGATTTAAATTTTTCCCACTTGTGACGAATGCAGCTATCGATTATTTTTTGCATGCTAGCATGCTAGCTAACATTCGTGTCAGTCAGCTGTTGGCTCTCACACTGGACGATAGAATCTTCCTGCCTATTCGTGGCAGACAGCAGTAGGCTGTCACTCTGGCCAGTAGAAAATGGCTGCAAACTACATGAAAAGTGCCATAGAAGCATGAAAATATTGATTATTTCCACTATCGATGGAAGTTGGGAAATACAATGTCGGTCTTGGCCTTGCCGCTAACTTGGAGCATGTGCATGTAAATTTTGGTGCAAATCCGTCGAAAATTGCGGTCGTGCATTCGTTACACACACACACAAACACACATCCTGCCTTTTATAGATAGCGATTCTCTTTGTTTCTAACGAAATTTTACTTTGCTTAACTTTAGAAAATCACCTTTAAATAACTTGCAAAAGGTTGATAAGATCCTAATAGATCTTCAAATTGCGATGCTGCACTTTCTGTCCTCTGTTGGAATACATCCCAGCTGGTTTAAAAAAAAAAATGAACATTCGAGCTCCTGGTTTCTCCATGGAAGGAAGACATATTCTTTATCCTATAACATCTTTTTCACCGGCGCAACCAGCCGAGCCAATCTCAATTCTGTCTCTATTTTCCTGGTAAATTTTCAAACGAGCTTCAATCATTAGTAATACCAGTTCAAATGCTTACAACCCTGTTACTTTCACGGAGTTTTATTGCCCTCATTGCCTTCGTATACATGTAAGATGAAAGTTATTTCCCAATAGAATGCCACTTTGTGCAAAAGTCTCACGCGTGAGTACTTCTCCGAACCCTTCTGTGTTGATCTTTTTAACTCATGGTTCAATCCTTTTTTTCTACACATTGTACTCATATTTGTAATTTCCACTTCAATTTCGTCACACACATCATTTACCATTTGTGATTGTAGCCCTCTGATTCGAGTGACTCTCTAACCTTGGATTTTTTAAATTATAGTCAAGAAAATAAGTGGTTCATATGGGAAAACGCCACTACCTCAGCTACCAAGCAGCCTTCCATCAACATGACAGATACTAAAATCAAGGAGAATGACCCCTTGAGACTTCGTGGGCTGACGTTTAAATATATATTAAATCAATTGCTAGATCACCTCTTAGGAAAGTTGTCCATTATTGTGCTAAACAATTTTCTATCCAGAATATATCTGTCATAGTCTACCACTCGTGCTTTGAATATTGCTTCCACTTCACGTCTAGTGCGTCTGCTCTGTGTTCAGAGATTCTCGATAAAATACAAAGATGAATCTACAATGTAATTTGTCCTGACGTGGCATTTAGGCTTCAGTAATATTCCCACCGCTGAAACGGTGCCAGAGCCCGTTCGACTGTCGAACACTCCTGCATCAGCAGAGAGGAACCCGATCGAGGCTTTGCCGAAAGGCAAAGTTTCATCCGGGGAGGTAGACAGACCCTGAACCCGTTTATACGGGTTCAAAGATAATATTTTGGCCGATCGGAGAACCCACGGTAAACTCGGCCACATACAACACTCGTGCGGGTGAGGGCTGTTAAATATTAACGGAACTTCCTTCTCTCTTTTCTATAAATGTTGTGGATTCCGGGATAAAATCTGGTCTCGAATGAATGACAAACGCAAGGATGAAATATAGCAAATATATGTATTGACGTAATAATACGATTGGTAATGCGGTTAGTAGCAATAATAATATATATACAGTCTGGGAAATTTAGTATCGAAGTATGACTTACTTCTGAGTCTACGTGCTCGCAACTGTGACTCCTACAAAACGGTTACCTCACACTCTCACTCTCTCACTGTCACTCCCGGGTATTTACCGGCAGCAGTACAAGTACACACTAGGCGAGTCCACTTGTATAAATAGAGGTGGACCCCTTAACAATAAATATTGCTATGGTAATTTTTCTGACGTTATTCAATTCTACATAGACTTTATGAATTTAAAACCAGTACGAGATTGGTGTCAAGATCTCAAGATTTTATACTTGAAATAAATGCAACCGTAATTTATACGCTAACAGTTTCTTATCTCGCACTTCTCGCTTGTGGAACCCTTTTTTCTGATCTTTGCGTTCATCTCAATTTCGAATGTAATGTCACTTGTTATCTTATATGATCTTAAATCCTTTGATTATCGGCAAAACAGGTTGAAACAGTGATTCTCGCAAATTCACCGAAGTTAAGCAACGCTGAGCCTGGTTAGTACCTATATGGGTGACTGCTTTGGAATACCAGGTGCTATAAGCTTGGATGTGCGTGTGGTGGTAATAAATAACGGCACGGAATTGAAAATCAGAGAGCTGAGTTCCAATTCCAGTCAGGTTCTTTTTATTCATTTAGACGGAAATACCATTGGGAAAGGTATGAATTCACCTTTTCTCCCCAGCTATGGGTTAATTAGTAGGACTTGTATCAGTA